TTAAAAAAAAAATAGCGTCATTGCTAACTAAAAATGCAATTTATAAATATTCATAAAATGAAATGTTTCTTTTGCTGTAATATTTTTATTTAATTTCAGGAGACTGCATATTATGGGCCTTACCAGACCGTGTTTATTCTATGCAAATAGAGAATGGCATTTAATTAACATCACTTCCAATAGTTCATGTCATTGGATTAGTCAGCTATGATATATTTGACCCATAGTTATTTATTAAATGACACCAATGTATTATTTTATCTGTGTTCAACAGATAAAATAAAACAGTTATTTAACAATCAATTGTATCATTCATGCAGTATACTCTAAACTGCGTAATTCCCTTGTATTCATGAAAGTTGATGACCCAAAAACATTTTGTGCATGGTTGCTGGCATCAAACTATGCTATGAAAATAACAAAATTGTTCTCAAAAAGCAAATCTACATTTGTAATAATTTTAAACCGCATTTTGCCCCCATCCAAAAATATTTTGGCAATTAAATAATAATATGCATAACATGTAAAAGTACCAATGCCGCAGAGGAGATTGTATCCAATAAACTTTGGAAAAATAAACATCAATACGGCTGCAATGCAATGAGAAGACAGCGAGGGCAAATCTAGAATGCACTTACAAAATGTACACAAAGGTGTTATTGTCAGGAATGTTGACAAATAGCATGTACCCAGGCTTGGCCGCATCGCCAGATGGAGTCTTCCTGATGACAGTGGCAAAGTAATAGATGTGCTCGAGAAAAAGTGTCTCTATTCTCTAAAAGTCTGGCAGTCTAAGAACATATGAAAAGGACCTGGGTACCAAACAAATACAGAAAACAAAGTAGAAAACTTATTATATTTCACCCAAGTAAGCTCATCCCAGTTTTTTTTTGAGATGAGATTACCAAAATGGCTGCCAATGTTGAACATTAACACTTCATTCACAGAATATTTTGTCACTTACTTGTGTGTGTGTAAAATACACATGCTATGTTTTCGAGTCTATAAATTGGAAAAATAAATCATTGAATGTAAACCCAACATCAAAGATTTGAGTACTACACAGCAATAATGAGCATGCGCCCGGAAGTATCATGTACCATGCTTTCACCCATTCTTTTGGTCAGTTTTGCCATGGTGAGCTGATGAATTAGTAAATTTAGCTGACGAGGAGCACTTAGATTTTCACGGCATTTTGTGTTAACACTGCCCTCTAGTGTTAGTTATGATCGAAACAAAGACTGAGTAGTTTTGTTGAAGTTTCTTATTTCATACAATTATTTCATGTTAAAATGTATTATACTGTAGGAGTAGATATTTTGTATTTAATGGATGCATGAGTTTGTGTTGTGTATTACCGCGACCCATGATTCAACAGTAGCCATTTTCCCATTGTTTCGCCGATATCCACTCGGAGTACCGTCTAAATGGGCAGGTAATACAATATACAGTTGCATTATTTGTACTTTGATTCTTCAGAGAACAGTTTTGTTAAGGAATGGACTAGCATAGAGCATTTTTGATGTGATACTTACATGTGTGTGCAAGCATTACAATACTTATGTATTTGGCATAGTGTTACCATGGAACTATAAACCCTAGGAAGAACAACAAAACTAAGAGGATTACAAAAACCTTTGTCTTAGTTTATCTTACAGTGCTTTCGCTTTTGTTTCCACAACATTAGTCATACTCCATGTTAGTTGCCGCCGATACGCCCCTATCAACCGCTTTGCTGGAAACGGAAAACTTGAAAAAAATTTTCTTATCTGCGCAGTAAAATATTTCGTTCACTACGCATGCGCAAACAAGTCGGTCTAGAGGGTGATCTTCAGTGTACCGGAAATCATGCAACGGGTCGGAGTTTTAGCGAGTTTTCATAATTTTCAATGTCGTTTTTAGATTACTTCTTGTTTTTTTCAACCCTCGAAAAAATAAGGTTGCGAAAGGTTGCAAAACATGGGGTTTGGTATGCTGTTTGTTGTCGAGATATCCCGACTTATTCCGTGTTTCCCTTCGATCGCCAGAAGTGGCAATGTGTTTTTTTTTTCCCGTTGAATGTCGCTCATTTATCAGTGTTTTTGTCTTGGCGCCATTGTTTTTTATGCTATAACCGAAACAACTCGATCACGTGACCTCCCAAAATCGCCCGATTGACTCCGAAAATGACCGATAGTCGGAGATAAACGTTCATTTGCGTAAATCGGCTTATTTTTTAATGCGACGAAATAAACAGTCAAAATAAACATTCGACATCGCGGCAACTATCATAGTTCAAAGGAAACGAAGTGGTTGTTCTTCCTGGGGTTTATAGTGCCATGGTGTTACACATTGTTAGTATGTTATCATATGACCTTGTGAAAAGATTGAAGTGTATCCACATTTATGGTGGCCTAGGACTGACAGTGATTAATACTAAAACATATTGCTTTTTTGTTGTTAATTTTGAGCAAAAAACATTTTAATTTAAAAAATATATACAAAATGAGATTAAAATAAAATTTAAACTGAAATTAAAACGAAATCAATTAAAAAATTAATTTCGAAAATATAATTAAAATGAATTTTATTTTAAAAATAAACGTAAAAAGCAAATTGAAAATAAAAGCCAAATAAAATTCCTTTCGAAAATGAAAATAAAATGAAATTTATTTCGAATACAAAAGTAAAAGCAAAGTAAAATGAAATTCACATCATCTATGAACTAGAGCTGCCACATGACCGACAGCAGAGAGTTATACCGGCATGCTTTTCGTCTACATATTTTATAACATGCTACGGGACAAATGGCAGCCCTATGCTATCGATGAAGGAAAAGTGGAAAAAAAATCGTTTTGCTTCCCGAGCCTACAGCTGCCATGTATACCAGCATACATTGCGGTATTTACTACAGTACAGTTGCTAATTGAATTCACACACGATGGGCACATTTCTGTCTTCTGCTAGTCGTTAGCAAAGACCCATGAACAAGGATCTGTTCAAAGCCGACGCCAACGGAGTTAGTAGTACAGGACAAAATATATGGTTTTCGTGATAGTTATGTTGATTTTAATATTAATAAACTTAGGCAATCGTGACTCATTATCGGGCGTTGTAATGAACTCGTATTCATTATAGATTCAGAGGCAATGGCTACCGCTTGGAAACATTTTAAGGACGCCATGAAAGAAAAACAAACCGGGAAAAGAAAGGCAAGAACAAATCGGGAGAACTCCGAGATTGGTTAATGCAGGTTTTCAAATTGAAGAATATGTAAAAGTTGCTGTTCATGCCTTATATATGGGAACTTGTTGCTAATGCCTGAAAGACTAACCAAGGTCACCCCCTCTCGTGGTGGTGCAGAATGATCCAAATGGCGGTCAGTTTACGTTTTTTTTAATTCATGAGAATTTTTATCAGCCTCCGTAGTAGAGACGTGCAAAACTATTTGTTGTTTGTTTTCGTTACTAAATCACAAATCCACGAAAAAAGCATCTATTTGGTTAGGTTGGGAAAACATTTGGTATCATAATTTGTAACAGCTTCTGCTGTTCAGTTGAGGGTGAATATTGAAACGACACAATTGATTGGATAAAACACAACTTTCAACGCATTGATCACTTTAATCACATCTAGTAGATATACAAGGTCGAGTTACGATAGAATATTGGCAGTGACAATGACAATGGTTTCAACCGTAAAATGTAAATATATCATTCAGAGATGCACTAGACAATAAAATATGATTCACAAATCTGTAATATCCGCGGCTTACGAACCAATAATAGCGAACAATGAAAATACAGAAGTAGTTGTTGCGATATGTTGTTATTACAGTAACGGTAATTAAGATTACACTTACGTTTGTGTCTTGACCATGGAATAGCGTAACTTGGATGAATTGAGCTTTAGTGACAAGTCAATTCAAATGCCGCGGTAGCATGAAAACTTGTGACTTTCAAAAGGTAAAAGGTCAACTTCGAACAAAACAAAAGGGCCACTAGAGGACGCCACATATCTAACTGTGTTGCAAACCCGCAGCAATACTCCGGCCCCTTAAAGGTGAACAATTGAGCCTTTATAACATTACTATCTAAATTACAAAGCAATGTAAACAATAAATACAAGTATAACTGTCGTTAGGGGTAGACTACCCTTGAAGTCGACACTGGGGATTATTCTGCCCCTCTGTAAACAAGTACACAATGATAACCGATATACTGTCAGACACAGATATTGCTACTGTTCAATGTCTAGTCTTTTCCAGAAATTTCAAGGCACACAATCTTCGTAATTGGTCTTACTAGCATCCCAGTTGATGTTCTTAACTTCACTGAGTGAACCATATTATCTGAGGTGGTTCTAAATACTTCCACAATCTGAGCAAGAGGCCATGAACATCTTGGAGCTGATGGATCATGAACCAAAACAACATCGCCCGTCTTGACATTATCTCTTGCTTTGCACCATTTTTGTCCCTCCTGAAGAGCCGGTAAATACTCTTTTATCCATCGATGCCAAAACACATCAGCAAGATATTTTGCTTGGCGCCAACGCTTTCTCACGTAACAGTCCTCTTTAACAAATACTCCTGGTGGAAGTTTCGATTCTGCTCTCAGCAAGAGCAGGTGGTTTGGCGTGAGGGTTTCACAATCCTTCGAATCATCTGATACCCTTGACGATCATTTCAACTTCACAGAAAAGTGTGTGAAGGACTTGCGCACAGTTCTGATGCAACGTTCCCATACACCTTGATGTGATGCTGTTGAACTTCCATTCAACTTGTTTTTGTAGCAAGTATTGATGAATTTGTCCTTGATTTCAGTTCTCTATGGCCAATCGCAGTTCCTTTTCACCGTTCACAAAATTTTCTCCATTGTCGGACCCAATTAGCCGTGGCTTACCACGTCTAGCTATGAATCGCCGCAACCCATTCAAAAATGAGTTTGTGTCCAGTGAATAAGCTACCTCGAGATGCACACCTCGAGTTGTAAGGCAGATGAATATTATACCATATCTCTTCAACATGGACCTTCCATTTTTGACAAGGATCCAAAGCAATCAACGCCTACACAAGTGAAGGGAGGCAAGGCAGGAGTAACTCTATCTATTGGCAAATCGGCCATCTTCTGATTTGGTGGTCGAGCATGTCTTTCCCGGCAATCAACACTATTCCTTGAAGTTGCTTTGGCAGTTGCACGCCCACCAATGGGCCAAAACCCTTGTCTGATTTCACTAAGAGTGTAATTTGTACCACAATGACCAGTACAAATGTGATAGTGGCGAACAATGAGTGTTGTGACATGATGACCCTTCGGTAAGATTATCTGATGTTTTGCATCTTCATTAATTTGTGAATTTCTCAGTCTACTACCAACTCTCATAACACCTTCTACTAGAATTTGGTCAAATTTTACCAATGGGCTATTTAAATTAACTTGCTGACCATTGCGCAGGGACTGAACTTCAGCTGCATATGACTGTTGCTGGATATACTTCACTATAGAAATTTCAGCGCCCTTCCATTTTTCCACTGAGATTGGTCCTGCGACCCCTTTTCCCTTTGACTTGACAATGCGTTTCCATCTGAGTATCCAGGCTACAACCTTTATTAGTTTTGGCCAGCTCGAGAAGTGATTTATTAAGTAACTAACACTGCAATCCCTTTTAATTGACACCGTGGAAACAGCCTTCAATTCTGGGTCCCCTTCAGAGATACCCAGGGCAGCAGGATATTGTGGCCATTCACTTTCGTCTTGTTTCAAAAACTCTGGTCCAGAGAGCCACAGGTCACTCTTAATTAATTCCATTGCCCTCATCCCACGAACATCATGTTGTGAACTCAGTCAGATACCAACCTTAAATCTTAAACCTTAAATCCATATCAGATTTGTACCAAGTACAAATGAAGATGGAACAAAAAACAAACAGTTCTCTTGTCATCAAACGAAAACTGCCAAAACCAACAGTACAGTCACAGCCATCACAAGTTGCACCAAGAAGTATGACAAGAGAGCAAAACCCTAAAAGTTTATCAGTTATGGATATGCTCAAACTAAAGTCATTAGTGAAAAAAGTGAAACAGTTATCATTTAATATGCATCAAATTGCATGGTCACTGATGCCAAGAGTGGTTGAGCTCACTATAGATAAAGAACCATTTGGAACAGGAGGTTTTCTTCATTCGTTTAAAGAGTAGTCATACTGCAAATTTTATACTTCAGTTTGGGTAATTAGAAGTATTTACCAGATGCCTTGAAATCAATACAGGATACACATCAAACTGTTGAACAACATACAAAGAAAGTGGTCAGATGCATGCACTGGCAACGAATTTTGCTAATCAACTAGAATATGATCTTAAGAAGGAGGAGGCTTTGCTTTTGTATGGGGCCACACTTAAATACAGCTGATTTTCTTGGGGAAGATGGAGACAGATGAGTATGTAACTGTGGAGGAATATATTGATGGCGACTTTTTAAAATACACAAACAATGATGGTACAATCAGCCAAATAAAATCTGAAATATCTCAAGAATCTGAGAGTCTTGCCCACTTTTCCTATGAGAAATCTGACAATGAATTAATGGTGGTAGATATTCAGGGTAGTGGATACAATTTATGTGATCCTGAGATAGCATCAAGAAACCTGCTGAATGATGACAATTAAATCATGTTCACCACTGGTAATTTGACAGAAATTGCAATAGCAAACAAATCATGTTTGCTATAGTTATAGCCAACTTTTGAAACTACCAGAATTAAAGTAATGTCTACAATTTGTAGTTAGCTAATTTTGTCCTGTAGAACTGTAATGCTTCAGAAGAAAAATGCCCATGCATAAAAGTTGAAGTTTGTTAAAACATTTTTTATGGCTTTAAGAAAAAACTGATGACCATAACCAAATATTTTTGTCATAGCATCAACCTCCAGTTTCCACTTGTTTCATTGGTTATTCTATTATTAGCATTAGCAAAAAATCTATTTTTGGGTGAAAGGACTAAATTATATAAACAATGTTATGCTGTTGATTCAAGTCCATGCTTCAAATACACGATTCAATTTTTTGTGAAAACTTTAGTAGAAGTCACTTGTGAGCAGTGCATGGTTCAGATTAGTAATACAAATATATTATCACGACATATTTCACTGAATATTTACCAAAAATAATCTCATTAAATGGCAGATTTCCAAAATACCTGGTCACTGCTATCTTTCATTATCATGATGCATAATGTTTGCAAAATGTAAAATCTCATTTTTGGGACTTGCTCTTTTGGTTTGGATAAAATATGTTCTTTCATGTTGCATTGTTGAAATGTTAATGTTATCTGTTGTTTGCAATAATAAATACAAATGTGAACATCATTGGTATAATAGTTTGAGTACAGGTAGTTTACGAAAAACTTCAAGTTACTAGAATGATCAAACATATGACACATAATTTTGTCCGAGATGTGTCTGAGATATAATACATCAATTGTATTCTGTTTTCTTCTGTATTTCCAATAACTGTACATATTGAAATTTCACAGCTGGAGTAACTACAGGTGAAAAACTACACTGATGCAAGACGGAAATCTAAGAGTAACAAATATTTGGATAGAAAAAAAAATATACAGAAAAAAAAAAGTAGGAAATATTTTCTAATTAAAAAACTGGTGTTTCAAACTCTGTTCTGTGGAATGATGGCGATAAAAAACGATATAGGTATATTCCCAATTTGGCCTTTATTTTGATTAGTTTATACAGCAGAGTGATTCAGAAATGATATCAAACAGGACAAATTTTAAATGTATTTGTAAAAAAAATATGATTTAGTGCTTTTACACGAGAATTGGACATTGGGCAGTCATATTAAATCAATTAACAAAAATATTGTTCATGTTGATGTATCTATTGGTATACTGTCTTTGTACAAAAATGTAAACAGAAATGTTCATTGCATTCAAGATAATGTAGCATGGGCACCATGAAAAACAAGATGGCCAACAGTCGGCCATATTTGTTCGAATCACGAAAACAAATATTACGTGCACCTACAACCCAATATGTATGATCACCATACCAACTTTGATCCAAATCGGCCCAGTCATCTCCGAGAAACTGCTGCGGGCACGTTTAGGTATCAGAAATAGCAAATTTTACATCCAAAATGGCCGCCAGTCGGTTATTTTTTCTCCGATCATAGAGTAACTTGACGCGCATATGTAAGACATTATGTATTGTCTTCATGTAAAAGTTTGAATGAAATCCGTCAATGGGTGTCCGCGATATAGCTCCAGACGTACGTACGGATGGACGGACGGGACGAACCCAAAATATCAATCTTACAGAAAATAAAAAATATCCTGCCTAAGCATATAAAACATCAAAATTACTACAGAACATTATTTTTGGATACAGGTATAATTATACTAAAACATCCTGTAAAATTGTTACAAAACTTTCTTGAAAATATCTCATGGTGATTCTCTACATCAATGAGATGTAGCAAAATGTTTCTTTAGATACTGATGTGCATAAGTACAGTCACTGGGCTCAACTTGTTCAGGAAATTATATTAAACGTTCACATTCTCTCCGAAATGTAGGTTCCAAGAAATCAGCTCAAATTTCATATATACCAGCATGAACAGCTGCCTGCTCCAGTTCATCATCAGTAACAGTCCAACCTGTAACACAGAATGTTAACATGTATTAGGGAAGAACCATTTGATTTCTGATATAATAGGTTTTGATAAATGTACATGTTGCTTTTTAAAAGGCAGCATCTTGAAATTTTGTTTTGAAAAAATGCATCAATGCCTATGTCCTGCATATCCCCTCGAAATCAAATGAGTTAGTAGTATCAACATTATTATCAACATAAATGAACCAGTGTTTTGATCTCAGTTCTATATTCAACATCTTCCAAGTCATACTCCTCTGGAAAATTATAGATGTGATCAGGGATTCCAGCTGGTAATCTTGTATCTTTTTATGGACGAATCCTGTGCGAGTTCCATACTGAATCCTTGAAGATATCCAGTTGTCCTTGAAGGAGTGGAATTAATAGAAATGTAAGGAGCATTCTGAAATGAGTAGTTATGGAAAATTAGTGTGTTGGGCAACAAATGGTTATGGTTACAAAGTGTTTATAACTTGGTCATCTGGCATCTATGAAATATTTTGTTTAAAGGGATATCAGTCACAATCAACCAATTATAGTAAAAATAGCCAAAACGAATCCATGAAAAAAATAACAATGGGAAAATGATCACCGAACACGATGAGGAATATAGAAAATGTTCACAGAAAAAAAGACTGTGGTTGAGAGTTATTATATGGTGAGGCCATGAAATAAAACTGTGTGATGGATTAGTATGAATGTTTTATATGAGTGTTGATATCTACATCTTGCACTACACAATAGAAAACAACCAAGAAAAACATATTTTAAATTTTATTAGGCTAGATACAAATATTTTTACTCGTATGTATTATTGACACTTACCTGTCCTGTTGATTCCTGGGATTGTAAATCTCTTCATCCTTCATAAAATTCAAATTTTTGAAGTATTTTTCAAGACGCTCATGAAGCTCTTTCCACCAGCGTTCAATCTGCAATAATGTGAATTAAAATCGTAGGGATGAACTGTTTAACTTCTTGGTGGCTATGAATAAATGGACATTATTCATACAAACAAATTTGTTCATTCATTTTTAGATATGCATCAAATTCAAGAAATTAAAGGCCCAAATTTTATTTTTCCTATTTTTTCTCAAGATCTTTCATAACCCCAAACAAGAAATCAAATGGTTCCTCTTATTAAATGGATACTAATTCGAAATTAAAGATGGATTTTCTGGTTTCTTAATGCTGGTACAAAACAAAATTATGACAGCACTAATTAGATATAGCATATTAAACTCGCACTGCTCTTGAAACTTCTAGTATATGGTATTTTACAAATTTGCAAATTTTACACTTCCCAATTATTGTGATTATCTACCATTTGTTTACATAACTAACCTGATTTGATGTTGAGGGACCAAAAATTACTGTTTCTTAAGAAGAAATCATGGTGACATGGATCCTTAGGTATGCATGCATTGTTGCCATTATTCCAGTTTCTGTGCCTTTGTCCACCCTCAGTAGACATGTTGGTTTCATACAAGTATTCCAGGTACCACCTTCCAACCAATTTAGGATCACTATTGCTGACCCTAATACGTAACCACAGAAGCTTTCGACTGGCAGAATCAATGCACCCATACACGGCAAGCGAAAATGTCGAGTTTGTCGTGCCCATCCAATGAATGAACCCAGTTGGGCCCTTTTGTTGTGAAACTCTCTTTGCCATCCCTGGTTTTCTTCTTCAAACCTATACCTCCTCGACTTGCCAAATCTTCTGGATCCAGGTTCTGCATAGGGACACCCTAAAGTGCGTTCCTGCCCATATGTAATATAACGAGAAGTATTTATCAAATCATGTTTGTCCATTCCATAAACATGCATACATTTGCATAATTAAAATCCAATATAAAACCTAATTTGTGATAAAGTTCTTCACAATAATTAAGTAGAAAATGAATTTAATTTCTAGTATATTTTGTCAGGCATGCGAGAACAAACCAGCTATAATAATACTTGGAAACTTCTAGATCTCAATAATCGCACACATGCTGTTCAGTATATGAAAATACAATTTTATACCGGTATTTAATTTTATTTATTAATTTAGGCAAATATGGGCAAGAACACAGGAACGCACTTTAGGGTGTCCCTTCTGCTTAGCAGCATAAACTAGTTCCCTCGGTGCGTTCAGGTGGTGTTT